TTAATAATTCACTGTTCTTTAATTGGCGGTATCATTACGTTATACATAATTAGGAGCACAAGGTATAACTTTGAGATGGTGGAGAAGATTTGTAGCTCAGGTGGATGATTTTGATGGAGTTTTGTTCTCTGAGTTGGATGGTTTGGTCGTGGAGCTTTTATCGTTCTTCTGAACGACATCATCAGCACAAACTTCAGATAGAAGTGAAGTGTTCGAATTTCTCCATATGCGTTTCACAACTACTTTTGTGCACCTCGATGTTGATTGGTTCTTATTGACCTCAAATTTCTCATTGTTTATTTTTTTGTCATAGTTTAAGGGAAGACAGAGATAGCATACACCTACACTATTGTAACCAATTCTCAGCATTGTCACACAAAGTCTCCAATCACTGATTACGATAGTTACACAGACCCCAACCAAATAGTCTGCATCTAACAACCTGACACAAACCACAATTTAGTGAGTTCAAGCACTGATGCCACGTTTTGGTTTAGCCGCACCTAACATTCTTCCAACCATCTCTAACACTGGACAGTATTGTGTGTCATAGTAATCGGTGTTCAGGCATACGTATTACGTGGTTCAACCATCTTAGTCGATGAAGATTCACAACCACATCAACTGATTTACCATCATCATCATCATCATCATCATCATCATCATCATCATCATCATCATCATCATCATCATCATCATCATCATCATCATCATCATCATCATCATCATCATCATCATCATCATCATCATCATCATCATCATCATCATCATCATCATCATCATCATCATCATCATCATCATCATCATCATCATCATCATCATCATCATCATCATCATCATCATCATCATCATCATCATCATCATCATCATCATCATCATCATCATCATCATCATCATCATCATCATCATCATCATCATCATCATCATCATCATCATCATTCCCTGACACACGGCATCCAACCTCACTATTACTTATTTATAAGGCATCTGTGATTAAATATTAGTAATTTACGAGTATCTTTTACTGTTAATGGCAACATTTCCCAGCCGTATATTAGAACAGAACGAACTGTTGTGTAGTATACTGGTCGCTTAATTGATAGACGTATATCTCGCCTTTACTATAGGTGTTGAGTTGTCAAAAGTTGTCAAAAGCCAAACGAGCATTTTGAATGTGTGCTGAGATTTCGTCATACACCAACCGATTTCGACTTATCAAACTTCCAATATAAATGAAGTTGTCAACTCCTTCAATATTCAGTAATTAGATTATGTCTATCTGTATTCTTTTTATTATAAGCTTTATTTTGATTTATAAACTATTATAATTTACTACTCTTAAGTTATATTCAGTTGATTGATTACAATCTCCTACATTCATAGCCACTTTTCAGATTGATCTTCTATAAATGTTATTACTTATTTGATGATAGGATGTAATCTATTTGTCTATTATATATAAATGATTCGTATAGTAGAAGCTGTTATTAACATTCTGGACTCAACTAAATGAACTAGATAAACAAACGAACCAAATAAGAACACTTAGCTACTTATTATTTAGTTGAACACTATACTAAGATTATATAAGTTTTATTTTAATTACTGAATAAATCATAATGATAATTAACCGGACTGAATGTCATAACAACTACAATCTTATTAAAAAAAAAAAATCTAATATGCATTGACAGCAATTAGATCTATTAAACTTTTACTAGATAACCAAAAATTGTCTATTGTATACATCGAATAAACTAAAAATATATAATTTAGTATATTTAATCTTTTTGCCCCCCCTCTCCCCTCCTCCCTGCCCTCCCTCCCCCCACCAAAAACAAACAAACAAATAACGACAGTGCAAACTACTAAATTTCACACTACTAATAAAAAAAAACTTTTTATTACCTAACAGTTTGTTTTTTTCCATTTCTTGAGTGAACCTTGTAACCCCCCCCATATATATATATATATATATATATATATATATATATATATATATATATATATAGAGAGAGAGAGAGAGAGAGAGAGACAGAAGGAATATCTAAACAACTTATCTTTATCATCATTACTGCCTTAATATTTTACGATCAGTTTTTCGTGGTGGTGGTGGTGATGGTAGTGATGGTGATGATAGTGGTGGCGGTGATGGTGTTGTTATTGTCGTTGTTGTTACGACAGTGTACTTTGGTCAGCCTGAAATAAAAGTCGTTTACATGTTTTTTTTTATACATTTATATATATATAAGGGAAATGTTTATCATGTATATAAATGTGATTTTATTTATGATGTTAGATCTGATAACTGTTATGATGGTTAGTTTATATCATGTATCTACGTTTACGTATAAAAGATTCCCACACACTCATACGCACAGCCATACCCATTCACACACACACACTCACATACATCCATATACACGTATATAAACATGTATCTGTCATTAGATAAGTCTGTTCTATAATAATAATAATAATAATAATAATAATAATAATAATAATCCAAAATCCACGAAAGTTAAACAAATAATAAGTAGTAAATATAGAAAGAATAAAATTAAGATATAGAACAAGTTTAGGATACATGAATTTTTCAAGTATAGAAATTCATTTTATATTTGTATGGGAAGTTTCTGTATTGACTGGTCAATATATTTTTTTTCTTTAGAGCAAAGTTGTGTTTCTAAGGGAATTAGGGTTGCTGACCTCATACTCAATAGTCCTATTTTACATGAATTTAGGACGAATAAGAACTTTAGATGAGCTACAAATGGAGTTGATTTTGTATTATTTAGATAATATAAAACTACAGAGGCATTACACTACTGTCAATACCGGGTAAAGTCTTCAACAGAGTGTTACTGAACAGGATGAAAGACGCAGTTGACGCTCAACATCGAGATCAACAAGCTGGATTCCGTAAAGACCGGTCGTTCACAGACCAGATTGCGACACTACGGATCATCGTCGAATAATCAATTGAGTGGAACTCGTCACTCTACATCAACTTCATTGATTATGAGAAGGCATTTGACAGTGTAGATAGGAGAACATTATGGAAACTTCTTCGACACTACGGAGTTCCTGAGAAGATTGTCAACATTATCCGGAACTCATACGACGGACCACAGTGCAAAGTAGTGCATGGAGGACAGCTGACAGACGCATTCCAAGTAAGGACCGGAGTAAGACAAGGCTGTCTACTCTCTCCCTTCCTGTTTCTTCTGGTGGTCGACTGGATTATGAAGACCTCGACATCTGAGAGAAACTACGGCATACGATAGACAGCTCAGAACCAATTAGACGACTTGGACTTCGCAGATGACCCAGCCCTCCTATCACATACACACGAACAAATGCAGATAAAGACAGCCAGCATAGCAGCAGTCTCTGCATCAGTAGGTCTCAACATACACAAAGGGAGAACAATGGTCCTCAAACACAACACGGAGAACAGCAATCCAATCACTCTTGATGGCGAAACTCTGGAAGACGTGGAATCCTTCACATACCTGGGAAGCATCGTCGATAAACAAGGAGGTTCAGATGCAGACGTCAAGGCGAGGATTGGCAAAGCTAGAGCGGCATTCCTTCAACTGAAGAACATATGGAACTCAAAACAACTTTCAACCAATATCAAAGTCACAATCTTCAATACGAACGTCAAGACAGTCAGTCTTATTATACGGAGCTGAAACTTGGAGAACTACAACAACCACCATCAAGAAGGTACAGGTATTTATCAATAGCTGTCTACGCAAGATACTCAACATCCATTGACCGGATACCATCAGCAACAGCCTTTTGTGGGAGAGAACCAACCAGCTTCCAGCGGAAGAGGAAATTAGGAAAAGACGATGGAAATGGATAGGACATACATTGGGGAAATCATCAAACTGCATTACGAGACAAACCCTAACTTGGAATCCTGAAGGGAAGCGAAAAAGAGAAAAGCCAAAGAACACATTACGTCGGGAAATAGAAGCGAATATGAAAGTGATGAATAAGAACTGGAAAGAGCTTGAAAGGAATGCCCAAGACAGAGTTGGATGGAGAATGCTGATGAGTGGCTTATGCTCCTTCACGAGAAGTAACAGGCGTAAGTAAGTCAGTAAGTAAGTAAGATAATATCAGTTTTTTTTATACTTTTCTGGTCATTTTACATAGTTGATCATTCGAACAATGAAAAGGTAGAAGAATGGGAAGAAGAAGAAGAAGAACTAATTACATGAAGTGTCTGATTAGTTATACTCTCATAGGAAAAGTTAAAATAATCTATCTAATAGAATAGTATTGTCTTTCATTAGATCCCTGAGTATTTTAATCAAAAAGCTTTTTTGACAGAATATACAAGGCAAAAGTTACTCTGGTATCTAGGTTGATGAAATATGGTAAAAAATTTTGAAATAATTAGTTAGTTAATAAGTTTGTTTTGGATCAAACTTGTTTGTTTCTTTATTTTGCACATTATTTACTCTCTGTACTCAATCTCTTTTCTTTGATCTTCTTAACCTTCTACTACAAGATAATTCATTTTCGTTTAGTGATATATACTACTTATATCTATTGATATCAGTAGCACATACTATATTTGATTGAGAAGTTTATAGAATTCATCTATTTTTATGAATTCAATCAATCGATAACATTAATCAATTCTAAAATAATCATACAATTGCTTTTCAATAGTTCAGATCATAAGTCAATGGAAACTAGACCATCATAGAAAACTTGGAAATATTGAACGGTCGTTTCGTCATATTGTAGGACATCTCAGTAACAGTGCTCATCAACGACTCCGCAAAGTAGAGTCACAGAACTCATACTTAGAACGTTCAGTTTTGCGTACGAACACTTAACATTTAAACCACTAAACCGGTCGTTTAGTGCTTTCAGGTATTTCATAGTGGCCTACCTTTAAGTGACTCATGAATTCAACCATAAAATTATCCTCTAAGTTTAACACATAATATGTTTGTTTACTTATTACTTTATAGGTTATTTTATGAAAAGATTCAACGAAATTATTCAGACTGTAATCAACCATGGAATATACTTAGTGAAGTTATTAAACAAGTAAGTGAAATGTATCAATCCAATTAACGATTTAACCATCTTCTTTTTATATCATTTATTAAACATATTTCATTGTAATCCGCATCAATATTTGTGTAACCGTCTAGTTGTTTAGCTTCGTTTTGAGTCTTCTGAAGCAAAAAAGCATATCCCAAATATAAATGAAAGTATTTCAAGTAGTATGATTGGGATACTTACTTACGCCTGTTTTTCCTCGTGAAGGAGCATAGGCAACCTACCAGAATGCTCCATTCAACCCTGTCTTGAGCAATCCTTTCCAGCTCTTTCCACTTTCAATTCATCCTTTTCATATCTGATTCTATTTCTCAACGTACTGTGTTGTTTGGCCTTCCACTTTTCTGTTTCCCTTCACAATTTCAAGTTAGGGCTTGTCTGTTGATGTAGTTTGGCGATTTCCGTGATGTATGTCCTATCCATCAACTCCATCGTCTTTTCCTAATTTCTTCTTCAGCTGGAGGCTGTATTGTTATCGTTCACAGTAGGTTCTTCACTGATGGTATCCGGCCAATGAATGTTGAGTATCTTGCGTAGACAACTATTTATAAATACTTCTATCTTCTTGATGATGGCTGTAGATGATAACATGAATGGGATAACTTAGTTGGAAACCCAGGTTACCTATTAAAAACACCCAGCAATTCTATGAAACTGCATAGTAGCTATCAGGGCGAGATTCTAATTTTTGGACGAGCCAATCAGAAGCCTTTGAGAGATTTCAAGGTTACGGCGTCAACTTCAGTGCTTAATGCTAACGTATGATCGTATCGTAAGCAATTTTGTACAAAACGTGATTATTGAGCGGCTATAACAAATAAAACGGCAAGACTATAATTTGTGGACGAATCAATCAGGTATAAGATAATGGATCACGGATTTTAACGCGAAAGTCTTACATCTCTTTGGTTATATGAATTTCTGGCATAATAGCTTATGTCAGTTCGTGATGAAAACTCCATATATAATTCTTAACTAAGGCACATTATGAAAATTATCGCAAACTGGATAGTAAAATCACCAGTAACACTAGCTGCAACCAGGTACTACAATATATACGGATGTTTGGAGAGCGTACAGTCTCCTACATCGGCTTGGTTATGTGCATCATGTCGTTACCCACAAGTAGCATTTTGTGTACTCAACAATCGAAGTGTACTCAAACAATATTGAAGCTATGTGGTCGAGGTTCGAAGAGTTTTTGAGACTTTATTATGACTCCAGAGGCCGACTATTCTGTAACCGTAAGGATGATTTCCTCTACTGCATGCATTAGGATTCTAGAATCTCTGAACATTTTTCTAACCTTGACAAGCTGTTGAACCACGTATAAAAAGTGTATCCAGTTTATTTTCTTGCTTTTGTATAATATATTTTTACTCTATACTGATTGTTTGCTAATTGACTAACATTCTCAAAGTCATTTAAGATTCGTAATATATGTAATGTGGATATTTTGTGACCCAGGATCTGACTTTAGTTATATTATATAAATGATTATTGTTAAATTAGACATCTTACTTATTCTCGTATATAATTATTGACTTAGATTGCGTTAGTGAATAACGAGATCGTGGATGCGCATTGGAAGCACTGGACGGCCGTTTCATCCTATTGTGGGACTCCTCAGCAGTGCGCATCCACGACCTCGCCCCCTGCGAGATTCGAACCCAGCACCTACTGGTTTCGAGCGCGAGCACTTAACCACTAGACCACTGAGCCGGCCATCATCAAACTGCATTACGAGACAAGCGCTAACTTGGAATCCTGAAGGGAAGCGGAAAAGAGGAAGGCCAAAGAACACATTACGTCGGGAAATAGAAGCAGATATGAAAAAAATGAATAAGAACTGGAAAGAGCTTGAAAGGATTGCCCAGGACAGGGTTGGATGGAGAATGCTGGTGGTGGGCCTATGCTCCTTCACGAGGAGTAACAGGCGTAAGTAAGTAAGTAAGGATGCGCATTGCTACTGAAGAGTTCCACAATATAACGAAACGGCCATCCAGTACCTTCAGGTTTTGTAATAATGGTCTAACTTTAATTGACTCATGATTTCAACTATTGAGATGATTAAAATCTCCACAAAGATCTTTCTGATAATTATTATCAATCAAATACGAGAATGAATATACACTCATTAATATGGGCAGACAATCAGAGCGACAAAATGAAGAGAAGATAGCGATCGAAGTTAAATGACGTACAGTGAAGAAGACTGGATTTAATCAAGCGTTAATCAATATTTATAGTCACACAAAAATAAGCTATAGTTATGTGATAAGTAGGATGAAAGAAGTGCGCGGGCACACACACACACACATCTGTTCACATATGAGCTTAACATAGTAACCAATATGATAGATTTTTATTTTACAATCCATTCTAATTCATTTCATATTTTCACATTTCTTTCATAGGTGAAACAAGAATGTTTTGAACGTGTAAAATGTTTGGAAGAAGAAAATTTAATTCTACAACAACGTTATAAAGAACTTGAAGAAAGGGTAAAATTTTCATATACATTACATATTACTATTAAAAATCACTTAATTGATGTTCTATGGAGGTTATGTAGAGGTTATATGGAGGTATATCCGTTGACAAACAAAATTTAATAATTAGTAAATACTTATTCAGTTAATCAGTCAGCTACAACATAGGACCAGGAACATATGTGCATCGGTTTAAGTTGTCATGCCACATTAGCACAACAAGATGAACACCAAATTCATACAAGTGGTAATATATAAAACAAAGATTGCATATAAGGAGATAGTACAGGAAGAAAGAATTAGTTCGTAGAAAGAAAGATATGAAGTGATTTTAATCTCATAGTTTAAGGGAAGACAGTGATAGCATACATCTACACCATTGTGATCAATTCTCAGCATTGTCACACAAAGTCTCCAATCACTGATTACGATAGTTACACAGACCCCAACCAAATAGTCTGCATCTAACAACCTGACTCAAACCACAATTTAGTGAGTTCAAGCACTGATGCCACGTTTTGGTTTAGCCACACCTAACATTCTTCCAACCATCTCCAACACTGAACAGCATTGTGTGTCATAGTAATCGGTGTTCAGGCATACGTATTACGTGGTCCAACCATCTTAGTCGATGAAGATTCACAACCACATCAACTGATTTACCATCATCATCATCATCATTCCCTGACACACGGCATCCAACCTCACTATTACTTATTTATAAGGCATCGGTGATTAAATATTAGTAATTTACAAGTATCTTTTACTGTTAATGGCCACATTTCTCAGCCGTATATTAGAAGAGAACGAACTGTTGTGTAGTATACTGGTCGCTTAATTGATAGACGTATATCTCGCCTTTACTATAGGTGTTGAGTTGTCAAAAGTTGTCAAAAGCCAAACGAGCATTTTGAATGTGTGCTGAGATTTCGTCATACACCAACCGATTTCGACTTATCAAACTTCCAATATAAATGAAGTTGTCAACGCATTCGACTACTTCACTCCCTATCATTAATTCCGGTATTGTTTGTATTGTATACTGTTGACCAAGTTAACCAATGATGAAAATTAAAAAAAATATCATAAACTTAACGATTTATTGAAGAAAAAAATGAAAAAAAAAACAATCATAATAAACTTTTCTGTCATGCAATTTTACTCAATGGTATGATCAGTTGTCTAATAGTTAAGCGCTCGCGCGTGAATTATACGTCCTGGATTCGATTGTGGATGTGCACTGTCATTGAAGAGTCCCACAATAAGACGAAACGGTCGTTGAGTCCTCCCAGATTTTCCATGATGGTCTAGCTTCAATTGATTCATGATCTTAACTATTAAAATTATTATAATATCCACTGAACTCTTTTGAATATTAATCTCTCACAAAACAAAAGTGTAAATTTTAAAATGACAAAGGTGACTATCAAGAGGGATATCTAAAATCTAAGTGTTTACCAATAGCTTTGAAGGTTTATTTTATTAGAAATGACATTTTGAATATAGGCCAAAATCAATATACTCAAGTTTTCTATAGAAATGCTATGGGAAATGAATCATGGATAGTTACAAAATAAACTGACGACTATCTCTAATAATTTATACATCCATAACCTTACAGATTTATAAAATTTTAATATCATGTTAAGCCATTGTTATTATTACTAAGCAAAGATGAATAGTGGCTAGCAGTGGAATCCAGAACGCCCGTTTCGTCCTATTTAGGATTCATCACTTTGGTGTACATAGGCCTGAGTCCCAAAGTGAACATCAACTCTTAGATGCATGAAAATCCAGTTGACGAGCCTTAAATAGGCTGAAACTCTCATCAAACTGAATTCTACTGCTAGCCACATCCATTTTTGCTTATAATACTTATGAACTATGATAATATCGTGGCATTAAGCAAAATATGAATATATGCCAATAAGTGACTGATCATTTGTAGTGCTAATCTTGAGATGGTGGAGAAGATTTGTAGCTCAGGTGGATGATTTTGATGGAGTTTTGTTCTCTGAGCTGGATGGTTTGGTCGTGGAGCTTTCATCGTTCTTCTGAACGACATCAAGAATCAAACCAATAGGAGACAAAACCAAGACAAAAAGGTAAACAATGACAAATTTAAGGTCAATAAGAACCAATCAACATCGAGGTGCACAAAACAAGCTGTGAAACGCATATGGAGAAATTCGAACACTTCACTTCTATCTGAAGTTTGTGCTGATGATGTCGTTCAGAAGAACGATAAAAGCTCCACGACCAAACCATCCAGCTCAGAGAACAAAACTCCATCAAAAGTAGTGCTAATCATCCATGAGTAGATTCAAGTAAACAATACTAAGTGAATTTATTTTTATTATTTAGTGAATTGTTTTTTTTTAAGGATTCTTTCATCACTAAACCAAAGAAAACTTGAAGGCTGTTATATTCTAGTATGGAACAGTTCAACATCCATTAATCCACCGGTAATCAAACCTAAACTCTTTAGGTTTTGGCATCAATCAAACCAATGAAAATTTCCATACTATGATGAAACAGCTATTTAGTGTTTGATTAATGAATGACTGTTCATTCATTATTATTGTTTAACTTGAAATGATATCCAAAGACAAAAATAAACGATTCAGCAAAAAGGTTCTCAGTTGTATGTACTCAGTACTGTGATTTTGGTGGCCCAAGATCAGACAACATTTAGATCGTATGATGATCGAAATATGCATATCCTTGCTACCTTCACGTTAGTGAATAACGAAATTCAATAAGTCAAATACCAGAATGGATGTTTTGAATACGTATATTTTGTAGAATTATTGATCAGAACATACGATCAGTGAAACGGTGCACAGGAATGACCCGCGGTAGAGAAAGCGTGTAAGCTAACTCCCTTTAATCAAGCTTTAATCAATATTTATAACCGAATAAAAATAAGTTGAATAGGATAAGAAGTACACAGCTCAAACCTTCTTCTTTATCCAAACTTGGAACCGGCAGTAGCCTCAGAGGGGCTTCAGGCGGAGTTAAACACGCATACGCTCATATAAAAATAGGTGAAAATCTAACTCAAGAAGAAGGAATAAATTTGCCTGTCCCGAAGATAGAATATGGTATTTGGGCTTAACATAGTAACCGAGAGTATTAATCCATTGTTTAAGAATGACATTTTAGACAAATTTATTGATAATCCTTTGACCATAGCCATCACAGTGCCGATGGACTGGAAGGAAGGACACCTCATCAAGATTCCAAAGAAAGGAGACCTGAGCAAGTGTGAAAACTACAGAGGCATTGCAATACTGTCAATACCAGGAAAAGTCTTTAACAGAGTGTTACTGAACAGGATGAAAGACGCAGTTGACGCTCAACATCGAGATCAACAAGCTGGATTCCGTAAGGACCGGTCGTGCACAGACCAAATTGCGACACTACCGTTCATCGTCGAACAATCAATTGAGTGGAACTCGTCACTGTACATCAACTTCATTGATTATGAGAAGGCATTTGACAGTGAAAATAGGAGAACGTTATGGAAACTTCCTCGACACTACGGAGTTCCTGAGAAGATTGTCAATATTATCCGGAACTCATACGACGCACCACAGTGCAAGGTCGTGCATGGAGGACAGATGACAGATGCATTGCAAGTAAGGACCGCACTAGGACAAGGCTGTCTATTCTCTCCCTTCCAATTTCTTCTGGTGGTCGACTGGATTATGAAGACCTCGACACCTGAGGGAAACCACGGCACACAATGGACAGCTCAGAACCAATTAGACGGTTTGGACTTCGCAGATTACCTAGCCCTCCTACCACATACTCACGAACAAATGCAGATAAAGACAGCCAGCATAGCAGCAGTCTCTGCATTAGTAGGTCTCAACATACACCATTCTTTTGAACATCATCATCATCATCATCATCATCATCATCATCATCATCATCATCATTACAAACTTCTATCGGAAGAGAGTGAATATATATAAAACACATTTATATGAATTACATCATTAAAGTACACAATGTTTAGCTCATTTTTATTTCTTAGACGATTCATTTTTTTATTTTTTTCTCCCTACCTCCCTCCCTCCCTCCCTCCACCCCCTTCTCTCTCTCTCTCTTTTAAAACAGATAAAATGATAAGATACACGTTTTGTGTGTTTTTATGAATAGCCTAATTTACACCATGTACAATTTTAGTACATACAGATGTTTATGTTATATTACACTATTGTACTATGTAATCATGTAATGGATATAATGTAATTCACCATTAAGAATAATATAAAAATAGCTATATATATATACATATAGATACTATTTATATTACTGATTTGGCTATAGATTATAAATTTCAATGTCCTTTTGTACTTTAATTAATATACAGAGATAATGTTGTATCTACATAAATCAAATGAACTATATATAGATATAGATATAGATATAGTTATAAATTAATGGGTAATAATGGATAGAAACATTCTAATGTCTATTTGGTAACTAAAAGACAACTGAACAATAATCATATGATTCATTATAATTTAATGAATAATATTCATATATATTAAGTAAAAAATGAATAATGTCTAAGGATAGTTATTTATTTATTTTAACATATAGATATGGGTACAAGGAGGCATCAAATACATATGCGCCACACGAATCTCAATTGATTTGTGTGAGGGCTATGATACTGCCCGGGTGCTCAAACCGAAGTAGGTGGTTTTCTTAGAGAGCCATACCCGGAGCTTTCAACCTAAAGGTCTGATTCACAAGATAGTGAAGCATCGTAAGGAGATGCAGTCCCATGGTAGCCGGTAACCAACGATTGGTTCATACGCTATTTGTTCCCGCAGGATACTGGAGCCCATGTGCACCATTGGTTTGGAATCCGGTTAAAGCTCCAGACATTCGCTTTTCGTCCTTTCATTTTCGTAAACAACACCCGTGCCAGAAGAAGACAGTGAGTAGGACTTCGCTGTCAGAGGCTATATACGCATGACCATGTGAGAGTATTTCGAGAGGGAGAGCGGAATCTTTCCACTTTCGGTAGTACCAGGGTGTTTGGGGGCGTTTAAGGGTAGAATCCAATTTGATGTGTATTTCATACTATTTATGAACTCATCAACTGTGAATATACTTGCATTTCAAAGTTGATGTTCATTCTGAGATTTAAATTGAATCTTGTTAATTTCAAATATCATTGCGTTATGCAGTTAGTTACTGTGTTATGATAACCACCTGCTTATGAAATGGGGTCAAGTTTTTTTAGTGATCATTTACTGTTGGGAAGATATAAGTAAATAACATCAAATGAATTTATTTATATACTACTTTATAAAAAATAAAATAGTATATTGTCTCAACAAAAAAATATATGTTAGACCATCGTTGGAAACATGGAATCATTGGACAGCCGTTTCGTTATATTATGAAACTCCTCAATGGCAGTGTGAATCCACGACTTCTCCCCTTGCGAGATTCGAACCGAGAACCTATCAGTACCTTAAGCCAGCCAGTATCCAACAGTGTTAATGTCTAACTCCAACTAATCTACGAAATTGAGCGACACATCCATCATTATCATCAATAAGTTACGATCTCACAACAGACCTGATTGAACTTCACTGATCACTACTTCTCACTTGAACTTTAGGATATACCACTTGAAGTCAGTCACTAGTAAGCATATGTTAATTCATATCAGAAGGGGTTTTTCTAGATATATTATTAATTTTAATGGTTAATATCATAAGTCAATTAAAGCTAAACTACCATGGAAAACGCGGAAGCATTGAACGGTAGTTTCATTCTAGTATAAGACTCTTCAGCATTACTCACCACCCCCCCTTAGAGATACGTACACAGGACTTATCGGTCTCTTACGCAAGCGCTTAACCATTAGATCAACAATCATCTTATTATATTCACATTATAATTCATTACAAACTTATTAAGTTTAATGTATGATAATCATTCTCTAGTATCATCTTAATTATATCTTGTTTACATTTCTTTATGAATTTAATTACTTATTTGTGTTACTCTTAATAGAGTATAGACAGTTAACTAGTATTCATTATAAAACTATTACTTTAATAATAATAATAATAATAATTTGTTCATTACTATTTTAATATCAAAGGTTTTACCATTAACCAAATCATTAAATAAACATGAAGATCTTAAAGAATATATAAAATTTTTATATACTAATCAAATGAATTCAACTACAGTTAATTTAACATCAAATTCATATGTTGATATAAACAATTCTAATACAATAGAACAATTAACTAATCTTTTACTCTATACAAATATATCACAAAAGGTAAGTGAATGAAAAATGATTATTATTATTATTATTATTATTTGTTGGTGGTGGTGATGGTGTTGGTGATGGTGTTGGTGATGGTGTTGGTGTTGATGTTGGTGTTGGTGATGGTGGTGTTGGTGTTGTTGGTATTGGTGTTGGTGTTGGTGGTGGTGGTGGTGTTGAAAGTATAATTTTATAAACGAACCAATCAGGTATAAGATAAGAGGCCTTGAATTTTGTTGCAAAATTCAACTATAGAGTTTTTAGCATTTCATTTGATATCAGTTTATGATGAATATTGTAAATGTAATTCCTTGTCATTTGTTTAGTTTTATTATTGACAATATAAAGAAACAGTACTATTATTTCATTTTATTTTAATTTATGATCTATTGATGAAAGTATAATATATGGACGATCATCAAACAATGTTAGACTGACCCTGAAAATGTCCACTTAATAACCAAGACCAAATGAAGGTTATGAACTTACTAATTTAGGCCTGCTACTCCTTGAGAAAGAGTATAGGCCAGTCACCAGTATTCTCCATCTAACTCTGTCATAGGCAATCCTTTCTAGCTCTTGCCAGTTCTTATTCATTTTTTTCATATCTGCTTCTATTTCCCGACGTAATGTGTTCTTTGACCTTCCTCTTTTCCGCTTTCCTTTACGATTACAAGTTAGGGCTTGTCAGGTGATGTAGTTTGATGACTTCCGTAATGTATGTCCTATCCATTTCCATCGTCTTTTCATAATTTTCTCTTCAGCTGGAAGTTAGTTTGTTCTCTCCCACAAAAGGCTGTTGCTAATAGTATCTGGTCAACGGATATTGAGTATTTTGCGTAAACAACTAATTATAAATACTTGTACATGTTTGATGATGGTTGTTGTAGTTCTCCAACTTTCAGTTCCGTACAGTAGAACTGACTGTCTTGACGTTCGTATTGAAGATTGTGACTTTGATATTGGTTGACAGTTGTTTTGAGTTCTATATGCTCTTCAATTGAAGGAATGCGGCCTTTGCTTTGTCAATCATCGCCTTTAAGTCTGCATCTGAACCTCTTTGTTTATCGATGGTGCTTCCCAGGTATTTGAAGCATTCCACATCTTGCAGAGTTCTGCCATGAAGAGTGATTTGATTGCTGTTCTCCGTGTTGTGTTTGAGGACCTTGGTTTTCTCCTTTTGTATGTAGAGACCTACTAATGCAGAGACTACTGCTACACTGGCTGTCTTTATCTGCATTTATTCGTGAGTATGTGATAGGAGGGCTAGGTCATCTGCAAAGTCCAAACCGTCTAATTGGTTCTGAGCTGTCCATCGTATGCCATGTTTTCCCTCAGATGTCGAGGTCTTCATAATCCAGTCGACCACCAGAAAAAATTGGAAGGGAGAGAATAGACAGCCTTGTCTGACTCCGGTCGTTACTTGGAATGCATCTATCAGCTGTCCTCGATGCACTACTTTGCACTGTAGTCCGTCGTATGAGTTTCGGATAATGTTGACAATCTTCTCAGGAACTCCGTAGTGTCGAAGAAGTTTCCATAACGTTCTGCTATCTATACTGTCAAATATCTTTTCATAATCAATGAAGTTGATGTAGAGTGACGAGTTCCACTTAACTGATTGTTCGACGATGAACGGTATTGTCGCAATTTGGTCTGTGTGCGACCGATCCTTACGGATCGTGAAAGGACCCTAGTTTGTAATTTTATTTAGAAAATTTGAATTTCTTTGTTTTCGCGCCAAAAGCGCTCTTGTCACCTTCATATCGTATTTCCCACTTCGGAAATATCTTAAATACTATTGGTCCATTGCGTCTTTTAGTATGCTATTTGGTAACTCTCCCCAGGGACGGTTTTTGTACTGTTTATATACGTTTTGATTTGTGTTTGTTGTTATCACGCGTTTCTAGCTGTTTGCAGAATATACTTCCTCATTCCAAGCTTGAACTACTTCCTCTAGTTAGCAGGGCTTGGACGCATCAAATATCTAGCTTATTGATCTTTGGTCACTGAGTCTTTGTTCCGTTCGCAGACTTAGTGAACTCGTAATAGCTTCAAACCTAGCACAATGAAGTAAAAGACAATTGATTGACATTTTGGAAATGAACCATTCACTGTATGATTCTAAGATTCTACTAAGAATTTCTGTAATGTTGTATTAAAATGTATTCGATTGTCCCCCCTTCTTGAGTTCTCGTTTACTACAGTATTATTATTACAACGACTATGGCACAATACTTATTGTTATTATTTTAACCATATTAATAATCTATTTCATGTTATACTGGATGATTAGTTGTTAAAATTTTGCATTAGAAAAATCAGTCATACAGTGGTCTTGAGTGCTATTAGAGGTATGTGGGCGGTTATCACTTCCCGGTTGCCCACACCGTGGAAGGGTTCTGCTGGAGGTACCTGAAAAGGAAATTGGATTACAGGTGGTCATAGTGACTTGAGAGCGTGACCGTAGTGCCCTAGGAACAGCTGCTTGAGGTCGGTCACACACGACCTTTTTATGAGTAGTTTTTGTGTTAGCTCCGTACTTGTTGAAACCTTACCGCCGAAGACGGATATCCGTGGGATAAGGCGAGGTGTGCATTTTTAGGGTGTACCCTTTCTAACCCCACCCCTCCTTGTAGGAAGGCAGCATCCCTGTTATGCTAGTTGTCTAAAGGAATCACCTTACTACTGTCACACCTCTGTACAGTCAGCAGTACGACTTCGCCTTCGGACCTTGGATTTGTTGCTTTTAGTCTTACCGCTGTTCAACAGACCTGTCTGGTATGGTAGGACCTTGAGGAATGGTTGTTCCGATCAGTATAGCTTAGTCGCTTCATCACGATAGGCATGTCCGACCACCACGTCAAGGTAGCTAAAACGGTTGCGATTAGAAAAATCACGTCAAGATGATCAACATTTCAATAATATACAGTAACATCAGAAGGAGTTTTGTAAAGATTGTAGTAATTTCAATAGTAGAGATCATAAGTCAATTGAAGCTAGACCAGAATGAAAAACCTGGAAGTACTGGATAATCATTTCGTCCTATAGGATGCCAGCTTAGTTGTCTAGTGGTTAAGCACTCTTGCGAGAGACTGATAGGTTTTGAATCGTGATTGCGCATTGCTAAAAAGTTCTATAATAAGACGGAAAGGTCATTCACTACTTCTCTAGGTTATCCATAATGATCAAGCTTCAATTCACTCATGATCACAACTATTGAAATATACAAAATCAATTTAGATTAAACTCGATGAAAATAAAACTCAATAATTAATGATGAAAAACAATGTAGTTTTTTCTTTTTTTCTTTTTCTCTAAACTGGATATTCATCGTTTTACTTACTTAGATAGTGACATCTATTACTCTTCATGGAGGAACAAGCATAAACCACCCTAAATAATCATTTCTTTATTGATTTACCAATATTCTTTTTCTATTTAACTGATCTATTTATATCTCTTATTTGAATATATTTTTATGATTAGGATATTTTATTCAATTATCATCAATTACATAAAAGAGTAGCTCAATTGGAACAAATCAATTCTTTATTATGTTCAATTATATGCAATGAAGGATTCATTCCAATCTTAGATAAGAAACTATTAAACAATAATAATAATAATAATAATAATAATAATAATAATAATGAAATAAATTCAACATTCCATTCCCCTTTAAAGAATTTATCAAGAATGAATTATCATCATTCAATAGAAAACTTATCTTTATATAATACTACTAATGAAACTACTGATAAACACAAAAGTACTACTAGTACTAGTACTAGTACTACTACTACTACTAGTACTACTACTACTACTACTACTACTACTACTACTAATAATAATAATAATAATAATAATAATAATAATAAAACTAACGATTTTGTACAGAATACTATAGATCATCATCAATTATCTTTATTGAATAAATGTACAGTTCAACAACCATTTGATTATACAAATATGAATGTAAGTCAATTATATATTATTCAATGTTTCATTCAATGAATTGGTTTATTAATTTTTTTAATGATAATAAGATATCAGTCTGATAGGTCCTGAGTTCGAATCCCGTGAGGCGGAGTCATAGATGCGAATTGACACTGAAGAGTCCCATATTAAGATGAAATGGACATCCAGTGCTTTCATGTTTTCTATGATGGTCTAGCTTTAATTGACATATGATTTCAACTGTTGATAATAAGATATTTTAATTATTGTATGTTTTATATAGAAGGTTTTTAATAGAGTGTTAATGAAATGAATGAAAGATTCAATAGATACACGATATCAAGATCAACAGGTTGGATTGTGTAAAGGATCAGTTGTGCACAGATCAAATCATCATATTATAGATTATTGTTGAACAATCAGTTGAGTGTAACTTATCACTATACATTAACTTTCTTGATTATGAGGAAGTAATTGACAGTGTGGATAGGAGAACATTATAGAAACTTCTTCGACACTATGTAATGAGTAGCTGAAAATATCGTCAATATCGTACGGAATTCATACGACAGACTACAGTGCAAAGTAGTGCATGGAGGACAGCTTACAGATGCATTCCAAATGAGGACTGGAGTCACAAAAGTCTGTCAACTCTTACCCTTCCAATTTCTTCTGCTGGTCAGTTGGATTATGAAGACCTAAACATCTGAGTAGAAGAATGGAATACAATGGACAGATCATAATCATTCGGAAGATTTGGACTTCACAGATGATCTGAACCTTCTATCCCATACATATCAACAAATGTAGATCAAGACAAACAGTGTAGCGGCAACCTCTGTATCAATAGGCCTCAACATGCATATGATAAAAAGCAAGATCCTCAAATGCAACATAGAGAACACCAACTCAATGACGTTTGATGAAGAAACTCTGGAAGATGTGAAATTTTTCATGTACCTGAGAAGCATTATCTAAGAACGTGAATGATCTGATGCAGATGTAAAGGCAAGGATGAGTAAAACAAGAACCACATTCCTACAGCTGAAGAACATATGAAACTTAAAATCTTTAATTCATTATCTTTTATATTAAACACCAATGCGTTATCTACTAACCTACTGATTTCAGATGATCAAAAACGTTTTGATCGGATTTGTTGTTTACATAATTCCATGTAAAGATCCAAACAAATGAGTTTTCATTATTTTGACTAGTCTTTTTTGTTATAAGTATATACTTTGAGGAATCCCTTGATAAAGCTTTATCATTACATCTTTCAAAAACCGTGAACTTAACTTTTGTTACAATTGGTATTCGTAATAAAGTTACATAATTATAAATGAACCACAGTTTTTGTTCACACTGTCTACTTTGCTTGTTTACATGTTGCCGCATTCAAAATACTACAACAAAGTTATCCTGCAACGTGTCTTCATGTATTGTTTACTTACTTAGTTACTTATGTCTGTAACCCTCACTGGAGGATAGGCCATCGATCAACATTCTCCAACTCACACTGTCCTAGACCATACTTTTTAGTTCTGTCCAATGGTTGTTCATTCTTTTCAGGTCTCTCCCCATTTCTTGGCGTAATGTATTCTTTGGTCTTCATCTTTTCTTCCTTTGACATTGAGGATTCCATGTGTGGACTTGTTTTGTGATGCAGTTGAGTGTTCTCCTCAATATGTGTCCTATCCACTTCCAACACTTTTTCTTGATTTCTTTCTCCACTGGAACCTGGTTTGCTCTCTCCTATAGTAGGTTGTTGCTAATAGTGTTTGTCGATGGGGTCCGAAGTATTTTGCGTAAGCAACAGTTAATAAACACCTGTATAATCTAGATGATGACGTTCGTAGTTCTCCAGGTTTCCGCCCTATATAGTAGAACTGTCTTGACATTTGTATTGAAAATCCTGACCTTGGTGTTGGTTGACAGTTGTTCTCAGTTGCAGATCTTCTTCAGTTGTATATATGCTGCTCTTGCTTTGCCGATCCGCCGCTTCACATCTGCATCAGATCCACCGTGTTCATTGATGATGCTGTCTAAATGCTGTAAAGGTTTTTACATTTTCCAAATCTTCTCCGTCAATTGTGATTGGATTGGTGCATGCTGTGTTGTATCGGAGAATCTTACTTTTCCCTTTGTATATACTACTACTGCTGCTGCTGCTGCTGAGACTGATGCTACGCTGGTCGTCTTCTCTTGCATTTGTTGTTGTGTGTGCGATAGAACGTTTATATTATCGGCGAAGTCTAGATCGTCCATCTGCATCCTAGATGTTCACTATATCTCGTGCTTCTCTTCAGATGTTGACGTCTTCATGACCCAGTCGATCACCAGGAGAAAGAGAAAGGGTGAGAGTAAGCAACCTTGCCTGACACCGATCTTTACTTCGAACGAGTTTGTCAACTGTCCTCCATGAACGATTTTGCAGTTTAATCCATCATAGGAATTCTATATAATATTGACTATCTTCTGAGGCACGCCGTAGTGTCGAAGAATCCTACATAATATTGCTCTGTCCATGCTATCAACTGCTTTTTCTTAGTCAATGAATTTGATATAGAGTGATGAATTCCATTCAATTGAATGTTCCGCAATGATCAGTAGAGTTGCCGTTTGGTCTCTACACGATCTATCCTGTTGGTCTTGAAGTTGGGCGTCTACGAAGTCCTGTTTAACATTACTCTATTAAATACTTTTTCTGGTATTGAGAGAAGAGCAATACGCATGTAGTTATCGCCTAGAGTCCCTTCGGGGCCTACTGCCGGTTTCAAGCCCGAATAAAAAAGGAAGGTTTGACATAGGGTTTAGCTACCCCATCCCGTAGAAAACTAGCTCGCTGAAAAAAAAAACACTAACCAGGAAAAATTATTCAAACCATGTATTGTTCGTTCAATCTAACTACATATTTTAAGCAAAACTGTTTGTCTTATTCAATTTTTTTTCAGTAAAAATGAAACAACATTATAACAAAGAACAATTCAGTGTTGTTTACAGAATCATGTACTATATCTAATTAGATTTCGGAATTATACAAGTAATATTAACTTCATGTGATTCTTGCTATTATTAAAGTCATATCATTATTACTCAAACAGATAGAGAGTTTAGTGGATCACAATTTAGAATGGATCGAAACAATCTATGAATGATAACAAAAGTTTAAGTTAGATTACCATAATGTGATGTGTGTGCTACTTATATCGACATAAGTAGTATATGATACCAGTCAGAAACAGAATGTCTGGCAGCAGAAAGACAAGAAGATCCAAAAGTAAAGAATGAAAACAGAATGCAATTTGTATGAAAATGCAGGAACAAAGGAAGTCTAAGTCATTTGAAATAATTGATGGATATTTTGCAAATTAAGCATTTACTATATGGTTCTCAGACTTTATTGAGATGCTCTGTATTATTGTGTCAAGTATATTCGATTATCCTTACTTGTATTCTGATTCACTAGAATAGCATTTCACTATTTACAAACTATGGATATTTAACTTCATAACAGATAGACTTTATTAATTTCATGTATTTTTTTCCAACATCTAGTTACCTTTTAACCCCCAAATTCCCTGGTACAGTCGAGAGTCGGGAGAATCAACTCTCTGTTTCTAAATACTCTCAAGGAGCCATTTGCATAAAACCACTACCAGGGAATTCCTTCTCACTTTCTTCTCATAGCGGGAGTGTTCTTTACGAAAATCAAGAGGATGAAAAGCAAATATTTAGCGCTTTAACCTAGTTGATGGAAATTTAGAATCCACTTAGGGGAGTTGGAAATCCTAACTTCAAACCAATGGTACATATGAGCTCCAGTATCCTAAACGAATAAATAGCGGATAAACCTACCATAGGAATGAATTTCTTTACGTTGCTCCATTGCCTTGTAAATCCAACCTTTAAGTTGAAGGTTCCAAGTGTAACCGCCCGCCCCCCAAAAAACCCATCTGTTTCAATTTTATCACCCTGGTTAGTATCCAAATCCTTATATATATGTTATTGTATATTTTTTTTTACAGATTTCACAATTCTATACACAACAACAACAACAACAACAACCATTCAATTCAATAAAATTCACATGGATACAATCAAAATCATTACCTAATTTAAAAATCAATTCAATGTTAAAAAAAACTTCATTATGGAGAAATTCTTTCAAATTATTCACTCATTCATTATCATTCATTCCTAACATTAATTATCCAATTCAACCATCAAAAAAACAAACCATAGTAACAAGATCATCTAATAGTTGCCATGTTATACAAACTATTTATCATACCATTAAAACAAAATCTAATAAAGACAAGTTCAATACACTATTATCTAAACGATGGATACAATTACATAATCTATCATTGAATAAATATCAATATAATATTCATCAAATACATAATCATATTATATTAGGATCAAAAAGTTTACCATTAATCGATAATCAATCAATGGATTATTGGAAGAACACTTTAAAATCATCTCTAATCAATCATAATCAATTAATTCATTCATATTCATTATATAATTTACATATTAATAATATTCCATTAAAAACGATCATAGAAACTAATTCTAATCGATTAAGTGATCATAAATTAGTAATCAATAATATTAGTTCAGATCATAATAATAATAATAATAATAATAATAATAATAATAATAATAATAATAATAATAATAATAATGATTGTAAACATGATAAGAAAATAAGTCATTGTATAAAACAATCTAAAGTTTCTATATCATCATCGTCATCCTCACCATCATCATCATCATCATCATCATCATCCTCACCATCACCATCATCATCATCACCTAATCAAAGTATTGAATATCTATCGAATTCAAAACAAATTTTATGCAGGTTAGTTTTAGATCTATTAGATTATAGATCAGAAAAATAGATTAATGATTACATTTATGAAACTTGTGGAAGTTAAAACCTGATAATGTTTAACCTTTACACTATTGATCTAAGATTTAATGGTGTTATTGTTTAACTTGAACTAATCTATGAAATTTTGAAACAATCTTCCATTGTACTGATATATATATATATATATATATATATATATATATATATATATATATATATATACTGATATATATCTGTCTCTAACTGATATAGATTAGATTATAGCAACTCACATTCAATAGAGTTTGCTCTCACCTAATTCGGTTAAGCCCTTTCTATTAACTTATTAAACGGATAAAGTCACCTGCACTATAATAACTTATTGTATCCTTATTACTGTTGCGAATGTATGTACCTTTATTATTGTTATCCTTGTATGAATATGTATGCTCGGCAAACCTTACTGCCTACACATTTATTCACGCTACTAGCTTTACTATTAACCACTTAATTGACTCGATGATTCATTCATTTCACTATGTATATATATATCCATGTTATTCATATTCATGACTCGCTCGCTCGTTCATTCATTCACTCGCTTGATCGCTCGCTCTTGCCCTTGCTCTCTCTCGCTCGCTCGCTCGGTCGCTTGCCGGTTTGCCTTTCGGCACAACTATTTCATGCTTGCTTAACGCATCTGTAATTTTGGATATCTATGTGTGGTCCCATAATAAACGTAATTAACGCTTCGTATTCGCCTTCTGATTAATATACTGTTGGAGCATTATTTCGTGATGGTTACCAAGACAAATTGTATACGGAGTTTAAGGAATATATCGAACATCGACCACCACAAGTTCTACTAGTCATAGTTTTTCCCTAGAACTCAATGAATTTCTTCATGAAAATAATCATTAGTGAGTAGTATATGGTAATGATTAGTATAAGGGTTATGGAGATTATTAAAAAAAAATCACTTATTTATTGATTATTTATTTTATTTTTGTATATTGATTAGTTAACTAGACTAATCATTATATAGAATCAATAAAACATTACAATAACTAAATGGTGTTGATATTGACAGAAATATCAATCTATGATGGTCAATATTCAATAATAATCCTTAAACTTCATATATAGTTCATTTTGATCATCGTTAATTGATAACGCTATAACGGTGTATTAAAGTGAAAACGAATACAAAGTATTGATCTGGTTTATTATTGAATCCCACAGAGATATCAAAATTTGCAAATACATTAAGCAAACATGAAAGAGAGTAGTACTGTAAAGTAAACAGTCAAGTAAGTGTACGACAGAATCAATGATGTACAAGATGTCAAGATGTACGTATATATATATATATATATATATATATATATATATATATATATATATATATATATATATATATAGTGAAATGAATGAATTATCGAATCAGTTAAGCAACTAATAGTAAGGCTAGAAGAATGAATGCGTAGGCAGTAAGCAATGCTCAAGTATACATATTCATAAAAGTGCAATATCAATAAAGATACAATTGTATAGGTAAGTTGTTATTATACGAATGACACTGTCCATATCCCATATCTTACATAAATCGAATGATGCGTTTGAAGCGATTGGTGCTGAGTTCGAGTCACAGAGTATGCATCAACTCTAAGATGCACGTACATCCAGCTGATGAGTCCCTAATAGGGCAAAACACGCGTCCTGGATCCAACTGTTAGCCACCATCTATTTTTATTTAGAATGCTTGTGAATTAAGGCAATATTGAGGCAATACGCACAGTATTGCACATATACCAATATGAGACTGATTAATTACAGTCCAAAATAACAATGAGAAGATACAAGTAAAACAATACCAAGTGAATTTATCATCACATAGTTCTGATAATTTTCATCTTCTTATTATTACACTATCGAGATTTATCAAAAGGACTAATTAATGTATTCTTTGGTCTTCCTCTTCTCCTCCTTTGACATTGGGGATTTCATGTAAGGGCTTGTCTTGTGACATGGTTCAGTGCGTTCCTCAATGTGTGTCCTATCCACTTCCAGCACTTCATCCTGATTCATTCCTTCACTGGAATCTGATTTGTTCTCTCCCACAGTAGGTTGTTGTTGATAGTGTCTGGCCAACGGATCTGAATTGTTTTGTGTAGAAAATTGTTAATAAACACATGTATCTTCTGGATGATGGTTTTTGTAGTTCTTCAGGTTTCCGCCCTATACAGTAGAACTATTTTGACATTTGTATTGAAAATTTTGACTTTGATGTTGACTTGTGGTCAGTTGTTTTGAGTTCCCAATGTTCATCAATTGTAGATATGTTGTTCTTGCTTTACCAATTCGCGCCTTCACACTTGCTTCACATGCTTTAATCAATAAAACAAATAAATTATTAATTAAATTAAATAAAGAAAAAACATAGTAATAATTTAATTATTAACCATATAATATCCTCCTCTAAAACCCTGACTAGTGTAGGGGATAGTTGAAAGGAAGTTACGGGCGGCTAAGCCAAAGACGTGACATAAGTGTTTGAAGTCACTAACATCTTATCTGAGCCATATCGGTAGATGCACACTACTTAGTTGGGGTTCATGTGACTATCGTAATCAATGATTGGAAACTTTGTGTGACATGGTTAAGAATCGAACACGATGGCATAGATGTATACACTCTCTGTCTTCACTTAAACTAAGAGATTAATATTGCTTCATATCTTTCTTTCTTCCTGATATGCAATCTTTCTTTTATATATTACTACTATTGAAATGAATACTTCTATGAATCCGATGTTCATCTTTTTGTACTAATGAGATATGACAAATTGAACCGATGCACATATTTGCCTAATCTTATATTGTAGCTAACTGATTAACTGATTGACCGACTGACTGATCTAAACCCCTCCCTCTTCAAATAACTAAAACCAATATAATAAATCTATTTAACATTTAGCATAAAACTAACCAATTAATTTATAACAATCTATGAATTACAATCCGTTAATTATTATGTATTAGTTTACCATAATTATAATGAACCTTATATAAATGTCATATATAGATATAAACTAAGGTAAAGTAAACTGGAGAATAGAAGCATGTCACCAGGACTATCTTAGTTATAATCAATTAACTAAAACAAACTTAACCAATTAAAGGTTCACGTTTTCTGTTTGATACATTTAATATAATAGGCGTCAGTTTTAATCATAATAATAATAATAATAATAATAATAATAATAATAATAACCCTCATTTTACGCCTGGTAACCCCCATAGATCATAGACCGTCGATCATCATCCTCCAACCCATTCAAATCATGAGCCTTCCTTCCTAATTATATCATCTTTAATGGCAGATGTATTAAAAGCTTTTCTTTAATGTCAATCGTAAATTATGTAATAACATTTTTAAAAACACCCCCCCACCCACACACACAGATACTACTTACTTAGAAACGAGAAATATATTAACAAAGAAAAAAAAAGTGAATGAAAAATACGTTTCTTTGTCCCTCCCCCCCCTCTCTTCAAAATGGTAAACTTATAAGTTACATTCAATTCATGTAATGTAAATGATATTCATTTATGGGTTTTATATTACAATGAATTGCTTGGTTTCAAAGGATACTTAGATCATTATTTCAGATATTATTATTATTATTATCTAATAGTTGAATTCATGAATTGAATTTAAGTTAAACCACCATGGAAAACTAAAAAGTATTGAATGGCTATTTCATCCTAATATGGAATTATCCAATAGTCTTCATCCAAGATTTCGCTAGAGGGATTCGAACCCAAGATCTTTGATTTCACTGAAGACAATAATGGATATTTTCCTTAATTTCGTGGGTTAGTTCAAGTTAGATATTAGCACTATTGGGTGCCGGTTGGCTCAATGGTTTAAAGATGAAGTGTTTACACGCAAAACTGAAGGTCCTGGTTTCAAAGCGCGTAGGTGGGATCGTGAGTGTATACTATTGAGGAGTCCTGTGCTAGGATAAAACAGCTGTCTATTGCTTCCAGGTTTTCTATGGTGGTCTAGATTTAATTGATTCATGAAATCAACTATTAAATTACTAAAATCTTTTATATACTGATATAAGTAACATATATTAACACAGATAGATCAGCGTTAGAAATATACCTCAATATCAATGAGATGAGCATGACTATGAGACGTTTCTCAATAGTGAGTTACGAGTTTAGTTACTTAATACAAACACAAATTTTCCTTAAACAAGTTAAGATATGAATTTTGACTTATAGAAAGTTGTACTTGTAAAAAGCCTATTCAAATATGTGATTTGACCTTAGAAATTAAATTTTTCCAAAGAAAATCATGTGAAGCTATTCGTTATGTAACCATATCTTTATGTTTACAGATGAGAGATACCTAGGTAGCTAGAGAGTTTTGGTAACATTCGTCAAAGTCTAAATTGATTTTCGTAATCCATGTTGATGAGAACTGACATCAGTTGAATTTTTATTGAAAATTAATTAAAATCAAATTGCTGATCCCTATTTATGATCATAAGAAACTTCACATATGGTAGAGAGTAAATTTTCACCATTAGCTATCAATGTAATAGTTCTCATGGTTAAGATTCAGCTGAGATAAACAAAGACCCTATAATCAATCTCCTAGTACTGATGAGGAGTATTATGCTAGAACAAAACAATTGTTTAGTACTCTGTGTCTTTTAACGGAAACTTGAATAAAATCAATCCATCACTATGATATGCAAAGATGGATAGTGGCTAACAGTGTAATCCAGAACGTACGTATCATCCATTGCTAGACACTATCCATTTTTTCTTATAAAACTTGTGATTTAAGGCAATATCGAGGCAGTCCGTACAAGATGCACATAATTCATATGAATCATCTCCATGGTAACTTCAATGAACAAATTGTGGAAATACAGTAAAACGTCCCGTATGGTTTGTTTCTTTTCATTTCTCATTGTATCATATATGAAG